AAGGACACACACACACACACACGCACACACACACACCACACACACACACGCACACACACACACACACACACATAAAAAAAAAGTTTTATTGGAATTAAACCACATCTCAAATTGTGAGAAAAAGCACACACGTACCTGTTTTAAAAAGGCTTTCTACGGTATCCACTTACTCTTACCCTTCCCCTCCCCCTGCCTCCCCTTCCCCCACCCCACCCCAATTCACGCGAGGAATCACGCCCACCTCAGCAGCATCTTGTTACGTTTCTTGCGGCGGAGAGTGACGCAAGGAGACGCCGCAGGGAGAGACGCCGCAGGCTGTCACGTCACCTCGGACCCGCTTGCGCCATCACGTGTCTTGCGGGAGTGACATCCGGGGACTTGCGCCCCGTGGGATTGGGGCTTCCGGCGGCGGTGGGGCTCGGTCAGTAGCAACTCGAGGTGGTGTCATGGCTTGTTTTGATGATCGTTCCATAAAAATATAACCATTAAAGTCATTATTTTCCATCCTTTTCGAAAATTGAAAAGACCAAAACGATCGACCGTATTCACGAAGCATCCGTAGCTTTTGTGACGTCATCAAAATAAACCCAATGTGTTTTTTTTTCCAAATATAGAATCGTAGCTTTTGTGACGTCATCAAAATAAACCCAATGTGCTTTTTTTCCAAATATAGAATCGTAACTTTTGTGACGTCATCAAAATAAACCCAATGTGCTTTTTTATTTATTATTTTTTGTCCAAACATCGAATCAGACGCCATAATAACTACTGATCTAGGCTTTCCGGGTTTCGAACTGTGAAGTGTTTCGGGACCGTTGGGTGTTCGGAACTTTGAAGTGTTCGGATCGTTGAAGTATTTTGTTTCTGGAGTTTGTCAGGTGTTCGGATCTTTGAACGTGTTTGAAGTAGTGAAGGTTTATTTCGGAATCTTTGTTTGACTTCGCCAGGTGTTCGGATCTTTGAACGTGTTTGACTTCGCCAGGTGTTCGGATCTTTGAACGTGTTTGACTTCGCCAGGTGTTCGGATCTTTGAACGTGTTTGACTTCGCCAGGTGTTCGGATCTTTGAATGTGTTCGAATCTATCAGGTGTTCGGATCTTTGAATGTGTTCGTATCTATCAGGTGTTCTTATTTGTCGGGTGTTCGGAACTTTGAAACATTCGGATCCGTCAAGAGTTCATATTCATCATGCGTTCGGATCTTTTAAATGAATCCGGATCTGCCAAGAGTTATAATCTGTTAGGTGTTCGGATTCGAAAGGTGTTCGGATCTATAGAGTGTTCAATCTAAGAGGTGTTCGGATCTATAAAGTATTCGATTCATGAGGTGATCGGATTTATAAAGTGTTCGGATTTGAAAGGTGATCGGATTTATATAGTGTTCGATCTATAAAGTGTTCGATCTGAGAGGTGTTCGGATCTATAAAGTATTCGATTCATGAGGTGTTCGGATTAACGGGGTATTATTAACCGCGTGAAATAAACCGACAGGGATCATATGGCGGATGGTGTAATAGCAACATTAGAGATGATGATGTTAATGGTGTTTTCAAATGCAAATTATGATAGCGTTACCTACGATAATAATTTTAATATTGCATTGATCTGTGA